GACGAGGTTATCTATAAGGAGTAAACTTGAATTATACTGATATCTGCGCAATAGTTTTTTTTAAACCCTCTGAAAAGTGAAGGTTTTTCTGACGCATCGTGCGATGTGGAGTCAAGAAAAGTTTTTATTGCGTCATCTTAATCACCATCCTAAAGTTGAGGGTCACAAATAGCTACTCTATATAGTGTCGTTCATAAATGATATTTTCGTCAAATTTTCGTTCTATGAATGATGTTTACACATGATCATCTGATTATCCTATATATTATTATTGTAAATTAGACAATCATAGATGAAAGGTGAAGTTCGTAAACAGGCTTAACGCACGCAACAAAAATGCGCTCAGAATTCGTAGCCAAAGGTCGAATCGACATGTATCCGGGTATTGCGGTCAACGCTAATTACATTCAAATTTAATCAGCTCTCATTTAAGATTCAATAGTTAACTTTAAAAAAAAAGGAAATGGGATCATGCGAATACTCCTCGTAGCTGCTTGATTGCCCCAATAGTGAATAATCCATGTATCATTAGCATATGTAATATGTTTAGGACGCAGCAATCTCAGGCCACGATGGATAGACGCCTATGACTATCGCGCATCCACTCTCATTTGGGCATGCTGATGCACGATGATGTTGCTTGCTTCTCGCCGCTGGTAGTGGTGCAGTGGGGGACGATCAGAGATTGTGCCCAGGAACACGTTCAGTCGTCTCTTGAAGGTCTCCAGGGTAAACTGCCCCCCTCTTAGATCCTTCGGTAGGACGTTCCAAGGTAAAATTGAAGGTAAAATTTTTCTATAACCGCATTAAAACCAGCTTAAAATTCCAAGAAAGAAATTTAAGGCTAAAAAGTACCAAGCTAGTAAGCTTATGCATCAGCCATACATCAGAAGCCGTAGAAACTCGGGAACACAAAGGATACGCGGTGCCCAGCGGTGTCTATACTACAAGGAAGAACTAGATATTTCTAAAAAAATATTTGCGTTGCGTATTTCGAATTGCTGGCGGCAACTCTGAAGCTTTTCGAAGTGAATAACACTGACGCTATTAAAGACAAATGGTAATTAAGTCCTTAAGGACTTAAAGGTAATGATAGACAAATGCTTTATCATCGAAAGTGCATGATTTAAATATACAAAATAGTCACTTAACAATGCTTACCTCCATTCTGATGCAGGGAAGTTGTTGGTCGTTTGAAAAACATTTTTATGTCGATCACGCACAGTCCAAGCAAGTTTATTTGTACTTTGTAGCACCGAAAAAGGACTGAAAGTTACCGGTCGGACAAAAGCGCGTGGGCGTTAGCGTGGGTTACAGCGTGGGCCAGACCGGCCCTGAACCTGCCATATACCAGCTCTCCCTTTAGCCACGTTTTATTACCTCAATTCGTAACCAATAATTATGAAATTTAATATATGCTTTCACATGCTTATTGCGCAGTCGCGACGATTTTTTTTATAATTTTAACTCATCTCCTTTGCAAATAAAACGGTGAAACGGGTGCAAACGGGCAAATTCCGTCACGTAGCCACGTTTTATTCCCTCAATTCGTAATCAATAATTATGAAATTTAATATATGGTTTCATATGCTTATTGCGCAGTCGCGACGATTTAATTTTAACTCATCTCCTTTGCAAATAAAACGGTAAAACGGGTGCAAACGGGCAAATTCCGTCACGTAGCCACGTTTTATTCCCTCAATTCGTAACCAATAATTATGAAATTTAATACATGGTTTCACATGCTTATTGCGCAGTCGCGACGATTTTTGTTATATTTTTATACCCTCCCGCTTTCAATTGGAATAACAAATATGATTTTTCTCCTCCAGTCAAACGCTCTGTTTGGGCAGTTACGAGCACCGTTCGTGTATCGTGAACATTACCATTTAGATTTTATCTGATTCCCTCAGTGTACGGCGCGCACTTCAAGCTGATTAGCATCGCTCCATTCCCTGGATATTTGCGAACAAGTGTAAGTTTTTACAATTACATTCCTGATTACGACAGTGGGCAAATTTAAATAATAACAAGGAGGTACTCTCATTTGCTAGATAATGTGTTAAATACACTTGTGAGTTGCGACGAAGGTTGAATTGACAGTTAGCCTACCAATGGCTACCATTTCAATTCTAAATCTACTGCCAACTGCCGAATTTGTTTTGCGACTAATATTTCATGTATCTTATTACTGGTATGTCCGATTGAATAACTGTCAGGCATCAAATCACTCCATTGCAGTGATTGCACCAACGTTGCCTCAACTTGCCAGGTTGCCATAGCACTTTTGTTGCCAGCTTCCAAAAGAAGGCTTAAGAAGCTATTTATTAAAAATATTGCAAAACTCTCTAGCTAGTCTAGCATCTAAATTAATAATAATAAATTTCAATTCTAGACAGTATCATGCAGTTGTCATTGATGAGCTGTGAATTAAATGCAGTCTCTGCTAGACTGCTGCTGGTCAGTGGTACGTAACTCATGAGTCATGACTCATGTCTTGTCAGTCATGTGTCATTGACATTTGACAAGCAAAGTCTTGTAACAGGCTGTCAGCCATGTGGAAATGTGGAATTATGGGCTAATGGCTGGCTGAGGCTCATATATTTAAGATTGAGCCATGGCTGTACCTTCCTTTCATTAGAAATCTTTTCAAACTCCTAAATTGAAGTATAATTTAATTTTTATCAAATTTGAAGTCTACCCAATAATTGTTTAGCTACTACAATTATACTAAGATATTACTTAGTTATTACCTATTCCTCTAGAATAACACTGTCACTAGAGGGCAGCGTATGGTTTCGGTCAATACGTTGTGCTTCCAGCATCACCTTTGGTTGGTGTCCTTGAACAAACTCTTGGTTCTAGTTATCTGGTTGTATCTTCATCCTAATTGCCTCAAGTTTTTAATAAATAAGTTATTCCAAATGTAGGAAATTAAGTTTAGAGATTGCCCATGCCCAGCCTAAGTGAATGTAATAAGTTACTAGCCAATTGTGCTCATTCACACCTACTTAGCAGTGCTCGTTGATAGTGTTGGATCTTCTGCAATTGCGATTCAATTATATCACTGTTCAACAAAATTGGTACTTCACTGGCATGGCAAGCTTCTGCCAGATCTGTCAGGAAATGAAGAACAGTACTTTACTTTTTTATGTATAGTCAGCCTTGCTTGCTCATGCTTGTATCAAGCTTTTTAGAGTCCAAAAGTTGGATTTTATATGTAGTATGGCCTCTGCTTCAGAAAAAATGTCATAGCCAGCGGCAGCGCCCTGCTGTACTGAGCTTCCCATGCACACATCACACGATAGAAGTCCTGCTGCCTGATGCTTTTTCAGTCTAATTTGGGCAATTGTCAGGTCCTGACATTTCGTTTTTCAACTGTTTTAGGGATTTGTTGAGCCATTTAAATAATAAGCAACCTTTTAATAGTTCTCCACAAGTTATAGCTTCACATGAACTTCAATCATTTGAATTATTTGCTGCCTTCCTTCTGTACTGGGCAAAACTATGTTGCCAAAGCATTTTCAACTTGATGCAAGTAATGACAGCTAATGATATTTAATTTCATCATCATAAAATTATTTATTTAATATATCTTATTTGCAGATCATCATCAATGTGCAGTGCTGAAGAATGGGAAGACCTCCATCTTCTTCCCTGCTGCACAGCCATTGATTGAAAGTAATTGAGAAAAACCTGCAAGCCTCAACATTTATATAGAAATGTTGAAGAAATTAATATATAATAACTTATGTGTTTCTATCAATATTTCTAGTGTATACTCAGTTCTCCTAATACCCGTTGAAGTATATTTGAAGATTTTTTATGATAGCATTCTCACAATGTTTGTGTTAATTGAAATAAAATATTAGACATTACTTTTCATGCAATGTTTTGGTTAATATTACATCTCTATTATAATTTAGGAACGAAGAAAATACCAAGCCACTTAACATTGTCAATTTGTCATTATCAAAAACATTACTTGGCACAGGGCCAGCATCAGGTTAAACAATTATTACAAATTTCAGTAACAATAACCAGTGAGAATCTGTATGTCAATATTGAGTGTTCTATATTCAATCTGGTTTGGAGGCTTACCTAGAGACTTCTGTAATTATTGCCGATCCTCTACATTCTACATTTACATGCTTATTTTTTAACTAATTTTTTCATAGAGTTAAGATCCCGATTCACTGTTTGTAATGGCTAATGCGTCTAAAAGACTGCATTGAGCATTGTGCTCAATTTTGTTAATTGAAAGATTTGTGTTGACATAGATCAGCAGTAGTCATTAACTAATCGAAGGTTTTCATGTAATTTAAAATATTTAGAATTAAAAATTTTGTAAAACAAATCACATAAAACAGTAGTATATGTATAGCTGTGCTATTCCCCACCTATCGGATGAAGAATGGAATCCCCAACAAAGAAAGAAGAGATCCCAGCAGTCGCGTCAACGTCTCTGACAGCATGACGTGCGTTGCGGGCCTCCCTCATGCTGGATCGTGTGCTCTCATTAATTTCCTACCATATTATTAATTACTAGAAGCTGCTGCTAGAATATACTATAATTATAGTATTACAGCGTTGTCCACTGTATATCAAAGCGTCTTACAACAATTAATAAAAGTTGTTTGAAATCATCAGTACTTTTCCATACATCAAACACCTTCAATTGCATAAACACATTGCTGCAGCATCATAACCACGGAGGTCAGAGATGCGTGCTACGGGGCTATAATGACAAACCTTTCTTAAAATTTACTCAATTCCGAATTTAATAGGGAATACTATGGACACCATTTTTATGATCTTGGGTCTTTCATTCCCATTAATTTGTGTGCATTCTTAAATTTCATTATTAGTTGAATTATTTTTTTTCCTAAATACAAATTATCTGACACTAATTTGCGATCGCGAATCTGTAGAGTTGTCTACAGTATACATGAGTGATGTGGCTGTTATTTCAATTAAAACTTTGCATCTTACAGGCACCTGCTGACTCGGCTGGTAGGAAAAAGCTCTCGTGCAACACAGCTTGATTCGACTGCATGCCGTGTCGATTTCTCATTGCATTTCGTGAAGACAGATCTCCATTATTTATTCAGTGTTCATCTTGCCTTGCTCATTAAGAAGAGTCGCGATGATGAGTGTAAGTTTGACACGAGAAATTCGTTAGTAGTATCAAATGAAACGTTAATGTTCATAAAGCATCGTTGCTTCAAGACTTAACCTAAATATATCTTATTAGGATCAATTACTGGATCAAATTATAAACATTCAATAATATCAGCTTTTCGTCAAATCATCATATGTAATCAAAGGTAAATTGTTGTTTTTTTTCTTATTTGGCAATACGATGTTCTTAAGTACCCCCTTTTCGAAACTTGCAGAAAGTCTTGCAACTAAGTTTAGCAGCGTTATTAGAGGCGCTTGCGGAAATCAAGGATTCTTCATGCCGCTCAGTGCGGCAGCTCATTCCTATGCTAATGAGACTTTTAGGCATACACCATAGTAAATTTAAGGCGGTGAAATATATTGTAGAAAAGAATAAAAATAATTCGGATGCACTGAGAAGAGAATTGCGTCGGATTGTCCTTCGGGTAAGTAATTTTTTGTATCAGTTATATTTGCAATGACAATCTCTTTTCAAACCCGTTGAGCTTCACGTTTACCACGTTGAATAGGCATAGCGAATGAATGATTAATGTTATTGAAATGACTAGTGCTAATGACTAATAAAATAATATAGTTAAATTTTTTTGATAAAGATGAAATTTTTTTGGAAGCTTTGTTTGTGATAATATGAAGCAATCAATGATGGTCCGTCAAGTGTATTTTGTACACCTAAGTACACTCTTGAATGCAGTTATAATTTATTTTTATACATGCAGATTAACTATTACATGGTTACACTGGAATTTTAGTAACGCCAGACGATGCTAAAGCGAAGATAACACAGTGGCGGATGCTGATTGATATTGGCATGGTGTAGTATACTAGTGCGTGTGGGCGTTAAAAAATGACCGCTTTGGCCTGTAGCAAATACTTATACTTTTCATTACTTATCCATTCAGATTTAAAATCTGACATTTTCACTAAATATTTTTCTTTATCTAGTGTGTTCTTGAAAGCGTTCATCCTAGACGATGCTTGCAGAGAGTTAAGAATACATAATATTTAAAGATAAAGTTATAAATATAAATGCTTAAAACTACAACCCTGACAGAATTGCCCTATTTGATGAAATGCGATCATTTATGTTAGAAATAATAAATTCAAATATAGAACGATATTAGCCCATTAGCTATGAAACGCTTATATTGCGAAAAATATGTATGACGTGCGAATGCTGTTTATTTTCGGATTTACGCTTAACATATTTTTTGCGATCCATCCCAACGGTGGGCCCGATCATGGTCCGATGGTTTTTTGTTCGGACAAATTCCGCGATTTAGTTTTTTTTTAAATCGTGTCGGCATGCTAAAATATATAATTACAGTACTTTCTAATTTAATTCTATAGCGTTTGGAAAAATGAAAATTATGTTTTTTGCGCCAGAACCTACAAATTTGCTTGTAAACATAGAATTATCGGCATTTTTTGTCCGGGGACTTGGCCGTTTTCAGGCCATCTGCCAACCCTAGTGGCTCGTATCTTACACTGAACGTGTTAAGAGTCACTATTTCATAAATTTCTTAATATATTCCAATGTAATTGGGTAGCCATTTAATCCGTTCAGAAGAGTTAGGAATAAACTATGCTTGTGGTTGTGAAAGCAACAAATGCGCCATCATTGAATTGATTACCAGGCCCCGCAGCCGGACATGCCATCCCCCACGGCCTATTGCACAAGTTCTGCTGACGAACCTGTGGAGGAGAACTGTCGCACTCACAAGGATAACCACGCAACATCGCTGTACCACGGTCAAGTAAGTGTATTGAGGATAAAAAATTACGATTTCAGGAATTATTGGTTTTCATATTTTTTATTTGCATCATAATTAATTGATTTCGTTTTCCATATTTTATTGCTATTTCTTTGCTTTACAAAATTAACTAGTTTTATATATTTTTCAATTCATGAAGTGCCGTACCTACTTTGTTGAAGATGAAAAAGTTATTGTAGGTAAACCACTGAATTAATTTGATTAAATTACTATTTGTAGTTCATATCGATGTTATTTATCATTTTGAATAAAAGAATATGTTGTCTATTAATTAATTTAGAAGGATTTTCTAACTGGTCTTAGGTAGGTGAATAAAGCCAATAGTAAATGAATGTAAAACCATACACACAGCTAACAGCACGAAGGGATGATCCTCCCAGGAAAGCCCGCATTCTACCAGGGTCCGGTCCTCTCGTGGAGTGCCAGCGCCGTAAGAAGCAAGTACAGTCTGTACAGAAAAATGTTGAAGGGCAAAACGAAGTGAGTCTCATCTAAGACTAATATTACTGTCACTTGTACATATCATTAATGGGCTTAGTATAATTTTAATTAGTGCTGAAGTTCTACGGCACTCAAACGCATATTATAAGTTAAGCAACCACAATCTTTCTTCCCATATACTCGTATATTGATTGATCTATGGGAGCAATCATAAATTAAGCACGGCCAAAGGCTAGTAGACTTTATGGTATAACTTAACTAGTTATCGATATCATGAGTGTTACTCTGAAATTAAGTTATTATTCTTGATTGTATTCATTTCATGCATATTTAATTACATGAAAAAAGACACCTATGCAAAAGTAATCGCCATTCTATGTTTAGTGTTGAAAAAATGGTGCACGTTGGACTTTCACTTATTGAGTACCTACTACTTAGTTTTTCGTATGATTTCTAACATAATTTACTCGATGTACATAAAGTTGTAACATGGAATAAAGCGAAGAATAATATTATGATGTTTATCATTACTATGATTTACATGCTCTTTATAAATTGTGACAGGAATTAAAAAATCAATATAGAAAAATTGGAGAAGTCCGTCTTGGTGCCCATGATAAAAGTTACCCACGCAATATCGGTGACAGCTGCAAAGAGAATTTGATGCTTAACAGCGGTCATTCAAACCAAACAAGTACCTCTAGTGCAGTCGTCAGGCACAACGCAGGAAAAGGCACCGCGCAAATCACCCAATCTCAGCAGCAAATAAAGGTCAGCATTAGTGGTTCGTCAAGTCGACAGGCACAACCACTGACTGACAACAAATCGCTGTCAAATCACCGAATTCCACGAACTTGTAAAACTGACAGAAGTACAAGCATACAAAGAAGAGGATCACCCAGGACCCAAACCCAGCAGCAATTAACGGCCGACTCAAGTTGCGATTCTAGTCTAAATCTTGAATCAAAATATGATCTAAATCACAAACTTGGAAATTTGACATCGACTCACATAGCTACACTCCGTACAAAGCCAAAGAAAGTAATTCTATCAAGCAGTCAATCAATGGGAATGAGTGTTCTGGAGACTCGATCGCAACGGCTAACACCCAAGAAGAGATGTGTGCATACGCCAATCGGAGAACGTCATAATCACGGTGACGCAAACACGTCAATCATAATTGGAAGTGACCATGAAGAATTGAATACAGAGATTGGTTACATTGACGATGAAGCAATTATTATTATACACTCCAAAGTAGATGATGACGAAAGCATTCCAGACAGTACAAAAAAGAACGGTAACAGCAATTACTTGGATATTAATGAGAATACCGATGACGAAATGAATTCAAGCAGTAATGCTAGTGAAAATGACGCAATAAAGTCAGACGGATTCCAAGGTGCTGATGAAAGCATCAAGTGCAACTTCATTCGACAGGACGATTTCAATGATAACGACCAAGGTAACCGAAAAAGTAACGACTCCAATAGGCTCACATCAAACAACGTAGGATTTACAGACTTAAAATACTCCGCTTGTGTGCCTGATGGAAACATCCATAATCAAAGCCCAAGCCATAACGAGGAACGACGTAATTATGAAAATGTAAGTAATGAGGAGAACCAAAATCTAGATTCCAGTCACTACCATGACTATAGCAAGGTAGTTGACAACCCCAATGACCCTGAGGACGCTACAAACAATGACTCTGCTTCTGAGATAGAACAGAACTCCATCTATATACGCGGTGCAAGAACTACAAAAGAGCATAATCTCACTACTGAAAAACATTCAACACCGCCATCACATGAAGGAACTTACCCAGCAACACGTACAGAGGAAAACAGAACAGCGAGGAGCGTGGCTGAAATGTACATTAGTACGAAACGGGGATGCGGTTATGTAATACGCAAAGAATTTCAATTTGAAATAAATAGAGGCGATGAAACTGGGAGAATATTTGAGAGTAAAACGGAAGCACACAAAAATTTGCTGCGAGCGATCAAAGATGTAGAACCTAATTGTTCTCTGAAATTTCATACTTCGATCAAGGAATTTGGCCCTTGCAACGCTTACAATATAAAACCAAACTATTCCTTCCTTATTAAGTGCTCCAATAATATTTGTAAACTGTACCAAAAGTTGGTATATTTCGAAGGGTATGAAGAACATCCAAACCGAGTAACGCTCTTCCTACTCGAAAAGCATTCAGGCGCAAAGCCGCATCCGAAAAGTGAGAGGGATATGCGCAGGCTTGTGCGGGAAGAATTGGGTAAGAAAGCCGAGTTAATAGGCACCTACAAAACATACTTTGGACAACCCTTTTCAGACCCTGACGAATATATATTACTTCCAGAAAACATTCAAAAAGTAAAGGATAGACAAAATCAAGCATCAGTCTATCATGCTCATCCGATGATTGATGTTCAAATCACATTAGACGCTTTCGAAAAAGGCGACAAAGATAGCAAACAACTGAAGGGGTATATTCAACATCATGAGACGAAGTCGCGTACGATAATCTTACAGAGCGAAGGAGAGGTCAGAGAGCTCGGCAAGTGCGATGAAGTCGTTATTCATCTAGATTGTACCGGGTCGCTTATTCGAGAACGAGGTCCCGACAATGAACAGTACTTGTATCACGCAGCTGTTTTCCAGCGGCCTAATTCAAAAACAACTTTGACGGCGATCTCAATGCTTAGCCAAAAAAACACGACTGAGCAAATTAAAGCAATGCTAAGTATGCTCGTATCAAATTTCCGAAAAGTCCATCATCGGTCTTTGTATGTTCAAGAAATAGTAACTGACCATAGTTACTGCAACATGCATGCAATTGTTGGTGCTTTTAATTTGGGTGCTCTCTCAGAATACCTGGACAAGTTGTGGTGCAAATCATCAGACGAGTTAGTAGGAACTCCAATTATGAAACTTTGCTATTCGCATCTGATGAATGATGTCAAATATAATGCCAAAAAGCATTTAGGATTACTTCAAGCAAAGGAAAGACGTCCAATCATGCGACTGTTTGCAGAAATGGCGGACGCAACCGATAGGGAATCCTTATGTAATGCGTACAGGAAATTGGCAACAATTCTAGAAAACCAGTTCCTGGATGAGGACGTTGAGACTGTCATTAATGACAACACAGACAACATCAAGATGGACCAAATGGAGTGTGGCGATGAAATAAAAGTGCCGCGTAAAGATCCTGCCAGAACTTCCTACCGGGATAGAACGAAAGCCGGACAAACATTCTCTGCAATAGCAGGTGCAGTTCGGGAAACAGTGTCCCGAGAGGGTGTCAACAGAAATCCTGTTTATGCACCTAAGCTCAACACGTACTTTCTCACTTATGTAATGCCTTTTGCATCTTTGTGGTCTAGCCTCCACGGACGTAGAAAAACAAATGGTCTTGTGGAAGGGTGGCACAAAATTGTGAAGCAGGACATTCTAAGAGGCAAAAAGAAAAGAACAGCAGGAGACTTTATTCGAGAGATGTACGCTCGAACAAACGAAAGAGTGGCAGAATCTGCCAGCGAAATCCGAGCCAAAAGAAAAAGAAAATGTAGTTTCGAGTTGAAAGAAACGTGGTCAAAGCGCAAGAAAGGAAGCAAAGGATCCTACACTACCCCTACTCGAAACATTGATCTCGACAAAGATGAAGTTGAACAAATGGAAGAAAGTACAAGCACGAGACCCTCATGTGCTTCCGACGAAACTACTTCTAACGCGTCAATTGCGAACAGATGCACTGAAGAAGTAAACACAAGACCGTCCGTTAACAGTGTAGCGGCAGAGAAGGAACAAGTTCTCAGTGCATCAATATCAGCACCTACTACAACCAATAATGCATTCGATTCGGCAATTACGGGAAAAATGGAGCAGGATGAGTTCTCTCAAGATTATAATAATTTTAAGAAAAGTCTTCCATCTACGAAAATTGAAAAGAAGACTTCAATTTCAAGCCTTGACATTAAACTGGCTACATTTCGAAAAGGCAGACGCAGGAAGTTGCCAGTCCCCAACAGCACTAAGGTAGAGGTTATGCATTTGAAGGCAGATGAAGGGCAATGTTGCAAATTAAGCGTGAAGAAAAAACATTCATCTGCGAGGCTTACGTTGAAATCAGAAAATAAACGCCGCATTCTTGGAAATCGATGGTTCAGCAGCGACGATTTGGATCTGTTCGTGCAACTGCTAATGGAGGCTGCTCCTGATATCAGAGTGCATAGCCCACTGAGTGTTTTTACTCCAGATGCGCTGATGCATGACAACGAACCGTTCATCCAAATTATTAATACAAGCTACTCGCAATGCAGAATGACCGTCGAATCAAAAGGGTACGAAGCAGCACGTGGTTCAGGGTCTCACTGGCAAGTTTTAACTAACGTTTTACAGTGCGACAGCGACGTTACACCGGATGCAACGCCAGTAGTCTATCTGCTGTGCTCATTACAAGCACAGCCTGGAAATGACGTTAAGGTATTTATTAAAAAACTATACGAAAAAGTAGCACCCAAAGTAATTTTAAAATGCTTATCATGTCAAACACAGCAAGATTCAAGCAGTTGCGGGGCCTACGCATGCGCATTCGCGGCATCTGCTGTGTTTGCCCATAACCCTGGACTGCTGAAGTATGATAACAGTAAAATTCGACAGCACGTGTACGACAGTCTAAAAACCCAATGTTTACGCCCGTTTCCTACAACGCGAAGTGAAGAAAATTGGATTGTCAAGAACGGCTTAGAATATGGACTTTATGGTAGGAGAGTACGATCATCTGAAGAAATCAAGACGAGGAACTGGTCTCGAGGCCGCAATGAATAATTTTCAAAAATAAGGAGCATACATACTACTTTGGCAGGTATCAGAGGGGGCGGCATGAAAAAGAATATTATGTGCATAATTTTTATTACTCTTTTAGATTACGCATTTGAATTATATTAATGGTTTTGGCAATATTCAATGTGAAAGTGGGTAATGCAATGTTTATCCATTCGCAACACATTTTATAGTTATAGTATAATCGCAAAACGGATTCAGTGCAAAACTATAGATGTAATAAGGCTATATCGTAGGTATTGATGTATGCACAGATAAGTTAAATCTTGCTATTTAAATATATAATAAATTGAAGATAAACAAATTCTGTTGAACATCAGTTCAGCATTTGTGACACATAAATGAGTGTACAAGTTTATCAATATAAAGTAAAATTTCCTAGAATGAACACTGCAAAGTAAAGTTTAACTTTAAAAATGTATTGTACTCAAATAACTTAGTTTTGCAATTATCAAAATGTCAATTTAAAACACTCCTCTTTACAACTGGGACGAATAATTAACTTCATTATAAGACAATTTAAATTACAGTATGAATGCAGACATGAAATAGCGAGAAATAAGAGGTGTCAATTTGTGCCACAGCTTTCTTCTTAATATTGCCATGTTGATATGGTGCCTGACGCTCCTGAAGTGTGCAGCCTTCAGGGACCACAGTTCATTTGACAATCTGCACATATAATTGCACTTGAGAATAAGCTGACAGTTTAAATAATCAATTAATCGAGCACAATCAATATTGAAAAATTTAAAATATTAAAATGTGAGAGGAATTTTATTTTTATAGCATGTAGTGTAATTAAATAAAAGCCAAATTTATTTTCATTTGTAGAAATTCATGCTTTTGTTTGTAAATGGAATGTATGTTTTTCTTTGTATAATAAATGATTGGCTTAGAATACTCTGAAAGAGAGATGACTGAATACATTTTTAAGCTAAATTCTTCATGAAATGCATGTTTAATGTAGAAATATTGAATGAAGCTTATACATGATTTGATGAACTCTGTCTCTTCTCATCATAACGTAAATATAAGTTAGCAAACTATTCTTGACATATTATGGTCATGTGCTACAAATGAAGTTGAAGCACTGTTAAATATAAAAAATAAATATGAACCAAATTTTGCCTCATGACTACATTACTGTCATGACAAGTGTAAGTCTGAAATAACATTGAGACCACATTGTTACTTAAAGAGGCTATAGATTTAAGAAGTGAAAAGTCATTTAATACATAAATCACAAAGAAAATCGTTCAAACATAATTTTTAACTATTATTGCTGTTATATACGCCTGTTATGGCAAGAAGCATGTGCGAAGGATAGTGGTAGTAATGTTGTCATTTGTAAAACATTTCATTAAGAGGGTTTTCAAGTTTATTCATTGAGATATCAAGGAAGCTGTGCAGTTACTTCTAACAAGTTAATAGATATCACTTAAAAAAAATTAAATTTCACAGTGATCACTCATTTTTTTTTTCCCACTTGTATTTGTAACAGGGATTCTTAATATAATATTGTGAAAATACATTTAAATGTCATCAAATACTCCTACAATTGTTGATTAGTTGCAATGATTTACTTTACTCTAAAGAGAGTAAATATACTGAAGAGATCAGGAGATCTTTATTCCTAGATGAGTTAACAAATCTTTCCTGCTAGACTCAATCATTCCAATATCATTCACAAGATGCAAAGCAAATTTCATATGAATAAGATTAAAATTGAACAAAAGTGTGGACCACCCACCATAAAGAGGAATATACTTGAAGCAGTATTAGGCTGCCTCATCTTCCTTGGAATAGTCCTGAGTGCTAGTTTCATTTTGCCTCATGATGAAACATCCTGTTTTAATCCAAATGCATCTTGATAAGAGAAGCATACATANACGACAGCGAAAAGGGCACACCGCGTCCTCGCGATAACCCGCGCGAACCGCGGCTCGAATTACAGAGGCCGAAAATCATGAACAATCGAACAAATCATATACTGTCTCTTATACACATCTAAAAATCGTCGCGACTGCGCAATAAGCATGTGAAACCATATATTAAATTTCATAATTATTGATTACGAATTGAGGGAATAAAACGTGGCTACGTGACGGAATTTGCCCGTTTGCACCCGTTTCACCGTTTTATTTGCAAAGGAGATGAGTTAAAATTAAAAAAAAAATCGTCGCGACTGCGCAATAAGCATGTGAAAGCATATATTAAATTTCATAATTATTGGTTACGAATTGAGGTAATAAAACGTGGCTAAAGGGAGAGCTGGTATATGGCAGGTTCAGGGCCGGTCTGGCCCACGCTGTAACCCACGCTAACGCCCACGCGCTTTTGTCCGACCGGTCTGAAAGTTTGTGATTTCCATCTTCTAGCACTTGAAAGTTATTTATTTCCGAGGAACTGAACGAGCCGTTTTCACTGTAGAAGTAATTACGAAATATCAATTGCACCTTGAGTTGTCACGGTGCACAGACTGAAAATTTCAAATTAATTCTTCATTGGATTAATACCGCAGTGTAATGATGAGTCTGTAAAGAAGATTAATACGCAGTATATAAGAATTGAACTCGGTACAAGCATGACTTGTCGGGTGACTATTGTCGTACAATCATTTATAGCCACTAATTACAAAACTTTACAAGGCAATCAACGTTTCTCCGAACTCACTCGCCCTCGGCCCGCCCAAGCTGGCAAAGCACACCCGTCAATTCTAAACTGATATCCTTTAAATTAATAATACTTATTTTTAGTACCAGCGCAATCATAGTCAGAATTTTCATTCAGTTTTGTTGTTGGTTAAAAATAAATTGTAAACGATTAACACGACCATGTTAAATCGATAACTGCGAACGTGAGGTCTAAAATCGTCTAAAATCGGTTACCATGGTCAGGTTAAGTTAGGATATTTTGGTGTAATTATGAATAACATATACTAATTATTGAAAAATTCGTTTGAACCCTAGAGTAGATTAAAAAATGACTCGACGAACCTCGTTGATGATGGAGGATGACAGTGCGTTGGTACAAATTTTCATTCAAATCTGTCCTGAATTGAAGGAGTTATGCAAGTGACACTTCACCAGTCGGAAATTGCGGTCCTGAGATGACGGTCAATGACCGCTGGTCATCAGAAGGCAAAGGAGATTCAGTAAGGTTCATGTTCCATTTACATAACTTGATTCTATAATAGATAAATAATGTTAATTATCAATGATAAGATATATTGAAACGCGCCAAACTATGTAGAAGTATATCACGAAAGAATATTCTAGTCTTAGACTCTTAGATACTACACAGAGCACTTAGGCTATCAACACCACGAAACTATTTTTACATTTGTACGAATCTGACACTTCACGTCTAGTAAAATAAAATAGGACTAAGATAGGTTTTTTACTTTTACAAGTAAATTATTACAAATTAATCTACTTCTGAACCGAGCCCACACTTTGAATACAGCACCTCAATTCAAAGAATTATCTCGGCCCTACTGCTACCCTGCACTAACCCCACGGGTACGCAGCCGTGAACTGAATACTGAAACATTAGTTACCAGTAACTGGAAGCTAGAAGAGACTAACCTCTTCATAGAATTTTTTTCACATCAAAAATTTGTTAGAATTTCCTGCTCCAGCCTACATTTGCAAAAAATACTGTTCTATCATAAAAATCGAATTTCTTACGGAATATCTCTTTACATTTAATACCGCTTACGATACAACGATAATACTAGGAATTTGAATGGGCAAACTCTGCTACTAAAATAACTTAGATTTATTCTTAATTCCTAAAACAAAGTTACTGGTATTTCTTTGATTTTAAGCTATTAATTTTCAATCGATTTCTCAAGAAGTTAGTATTTCTTTAATTATCTACTAGCAGGAGTGCGTAGCATTTCCAGGGATCTGTAATTCACGGAAAATTAGGAGCATGTTATCGCAAATACAACTTATGTATGCAAAGAAAAAAATGGTCCGGTTGAAACTCTTATTTTACTCCCGTTACATAAATAAATATTTTTAATTATTTTATAAATTAAATTTATGAACACAAATTTAGCATGAAAATTTAAATTTTCATCCAATCCTTCTTCCTTATTTTGCATGCCATACTAATCTCTAGGAAGTAGGAAGACATGTTCAGGTCCAAATAGCCTAATATTCCGAAACGATAAGTATGATGGATAAGTGCGTGAACATCCCCTACATATTTAAAGCAGCAAGGCTTCAAACATACCCGCTAACACACTAACATTACATAATCAAATATGTTTAATCTTCTTGAAATTATTCAACGAAGAACTTCGACGCACCACTGCCAAATAGTATTTGCATTGCACGTCTGGCATCTTAGAGGCCCGGAACTGGGCCTTGGCGTAAAAAATGTACGTCACAAAATGCTGCTTGCGCATACTTTCGAAAATAGCTCTGATATTATATTAGTTTCACGTAAATCCCCTAATGAATGAAGCATATGCTGTTTTTATAATCACAGTAGCATTATGTCAGAATGTATGAAGATATTGAAAATGTGACGAAGGAAGAAAGCTGTTAGTGCGCGGATGTGCGAGCATTTCGGAATATCGCTGATCGCAGACTTCGCGGACCGCGGTCAGTGTTCTTTTAGTTAGTGGTGGGTGAGGTGGTACGTTGAATGTCGCTCGCGATGACTGTCTTTTGCGTTCCACCGGTACCCAACTGTTGCCACTTTCCAAACGCGGTGTGCAGCTGTGCAAGAATCAGTTGTAATGTATGCCTTTATAGAGCAGTGCCTTTTTTATTCTGAGTTTAATTGTGATAATTATTTATCAAAATGCCGTTAATCAAACGTCAAATATATCCTATTTATTTGTCGCGGAGGAGGGATGATGACCTGACAGATCTTTCACTTGAAGACGCGGCTTCAAATGAGGTTCAAACCTCTCGCTCGTACGACGACTACAACCTTACGGCCGTATCAAATACAACACTATGCGGTGCATTGCAACAACTCGGATGTCTATTATCTGCTGCTAAAGATATTTCCACAGAATTGCAAGTAGAATTCGATGATCTGGTTGGTCGGGCGGTTCGACTTTCTTCCAGACTTGCTAAGCTAACGGACAAAGTGGAAGCCTTTAACCCGAGAGATGTTCCCATCCGTAAGTATTGCTAATTATTTTCATTATATCTTAGATTTTGAACAGATTGACTGTGTTATTTGTGATAACACGACGAGAATTGTATTAAAACTTTTCCTAGTTCTCTGTTTCTTTTATACCAAGGTTAGAAACTTTTTAATGACGGCCGTTCGATTTCCAGTTAGCCCATTTTCTTCTTTCAATCTAACCTCAATAACACTTGAGACTTTGAGAGTTGAGTTGCTAGCACCCTACCCAGCATTCCCATGTCGCCAGCTTTCCATAAAAATTATCTATTGCATAAACATAACTGGACTACCACTTTCTATCGGGATTGAAACAAAATTGTAGCCATTATTTGTCAATCGAGGCATCCAAATCGTAGTTTTGACCAGCATTATACGATTCTTATTGACGAGCGGGAAATTAGTGCAGCTGCAGAGTGACGACTCGTGTGTCTTTGACAGTATATATATAATTCTTACTGCTACTTCATGATTGTTGATTTATGTGACTTCCGGCTTATTATTGACTCTTGATGATGTTTCTGGCCATCTGTATTTGTTCATTGGATGTGGTCTGATGATAATTCTGATGAACTATCGTTGTGCATTGAGTTGGTATATTTTTATTATAGTGATATCGGCATTCGGCGTTATAGATTAGGGCTATGTAATGCCTGACGCAGGCTTCATACCTCACTGAATTAGGAAAGCTATGGTACTTGCTGGTTTCGAACATCCATCTCATTGCTCCAATTTTGATTATCGCCTCGGTCACCCAGAGCAGTTCGCATGCGAACATTCAAATTACGAGTATTTTAATTTACTGTATTGTTCTGCTGCCAAAAGCAGAGACCTGCCCGATATCTTGATAAACCATTTGAAGGTATATTTCGGGTTATATTATCAACGACCAGTTGTTAAAAGACATGGAAAGATATGAAAATTTTGATTTTAGTTGTAGGATTTTCTTATTCATGCTTCTCCCACAGTATCACTCACAGCTCCTTTGAATTAGATGGGCTCAAGTGTTGACCAGATTTACTCATGAATTTAATGTATTGAGTAATCCGTTGGAGCAATGAGCTGCAGCCTGCAGACATACGTTTTGTTAGCATATTTTGAATATTTTTCTATAAGGCCAATATCATTCGTTTCACGGAGCTGGATTGAGGTCTCAGAAATCGGCTGAGCGAAAGTGTAAAATAGTTCTTCATTATCTCAATTTGACCCGTAAGTAATGAAAAGAAAATATGAAAAAATATGAAAAGTATAGAATAGCAATGCACCAATCGCAGTAAAACTCTGTATTCTGCTGTTATTATTTCTGTATACCATTACTATACTCGCCAGTTGTGGCTGGGTCTCGCAACCACATGCATTTCTGTTGTATATGCAGTGGGGCTCTCATGACAGTTGTTGATAATGGAGTCGAGTGTGGGTGCGATATCGGCGCCCTGCTGTAGCTGCTGCAAGCGCAGTGGCCGGCGGCTACGGGCTGGCAAAGTTCGGAAACGTGGTCGGTGGTCCAGTTAATTGACCGTTGATCTACCAAGTTCAACTTTGACGTTGGTTACTTTGTAAAGTTTGACATTGACGTTGTTTACTTTGTCAAGCTTGACATTGACGTTGGTTACTTTGTCAAGTTTGAAATTGATGTTGATTACTTTGTCAAGTTTGAAATTGATGTTCATTAGTTTGTCAAGTTTGAAATTGACATTTGATCGAATTGACGTTGATAACTTTCTCAAGTTTGACATTGACGTTGATTACTTTGTCAAGTTTGAAATTGACGTTGGTTACTTTGTCAAGCTTGACATTGACGTTGGTTACTTTGTCAAGTTTCACTTCGACATTTATTTCTTGATCGAGTTTTACTTCGACGTTTATCTCTTGATCATATTTTAATTTAATGTCGATTTCATTGTCAAGTTTGACGTTGATGTTGCTTTTTTTGTCAAGTTTGACAGCGTATATTTATGGTGGTTGACGATTCATATTACGCCCGTTACGTTTCAATGACTATGACGTTAGTCTTTGCTTGTTTCTAGTATTTTAACACGTCGATTCCGAAGTGGTAAATATGCGTACCACGAAATGTGTATCTCAAGGACGTAGTGGTACATAATTCAGGTTTGCCAGATGACCTAAGAAACGGCCAAGACCGCGAACAAAAAAGGCCTATAACTCAATATATACTAATATATATGTAGGTTCCATTTGTATTTGTAGATTCCATTTGCATATTTGTAGTATATTTGTAGGTTCCAAAAATTTCATTTATTTTTTTTACTTTAAATAGAAAGTACCCTTATCATAAATTTTGGCCGGCCGACGCAAGTGAAAATAACTAAATCGCGGAATTTGTCCGAAAAAAATACCATCTGGCAACCCAGTTTCATATTAGTACAAAAATGAAAGATGAAGCAAGCTTCATCAAGATGAAGCAATCGGAGTCAACGTGTTATAATTGCATTTGCTATGCGTCAAGTAGTTCATTAGCTGTTGACGTTCAGTTTTTGCTGAGGTACGCATCATCTACCGTCAAAGTTCAACACAACGTAATTACTTCGCAGCACTGGTCATCAAGCTCCGAGGTTAATGTTGTAATTCAGCCCAGACATTCCTGTGATGATTGGAAGCGACTTGAATGCGTTTCACAACATCACTGAACGTTCAAAGCATCTTTGGTATGCGCCGGAGATTGCCGAAAAACTGGCCTGCTCGCGGTGGTCTGCTGTCGTAATTTGAAGCCTAGTCTTTTCTTTTCTTTATAATCGCCGGAAGAACTTCTAGTCTTCGAGACAATGAAGGAACGGTGCTTGACGGCCTGACTTGAATCAAGATAAATCTTCTCGCTTCTTATTTCGCTGGAAGCGTACTTCCGTTTGACGTCTCTGGCTAATAAAGAAATAGAATGGAAGAAATTTTTAGTTTTAATGTTCATCACGAATGGTTCGGACATAAACCGAGTATAATCGGTACTTATTTATAGCATCGCATTCTGTACAGGCAAATGTGGAGTACGGGCTTTGTTTCAAGACGAATAATCTTCCGGAAATGCCAGAAAGAATTCTAGCTTGGTTCAACATATCTTGACCGAGTATTTGTGAACGGACCAAAATGATGTCCCAAAAGTAGCCAAATTCTCAAGACAAAGTTTACAATATATGCTTGAATATAGATAGTACATTTGTTATCCATTTAGCAGATTTGTATCCCGGCAGCGTGAGATGTGCCGGAAATGGTACTTCCTATTCGTGTTAGGTGTGCTTGTACGAATGCTCTACAGGTTGCGGTGACTCTATGCAGTAATTCAAGACTGTACTTCCTGTCGTTTGCCTTCTATGTGTTTCAAAGGACAAAAAGTTTATAGAAATATTGAAAGTGCCGACAATAGAGCTCAATTTTGTGCGTGAGCTACTACTCAAAAATTAATTGAAACTTGATGCTTTGCTAACATCTGAATGTAGAAGTACGGAACAATTTTTCTACGATTTCTTTAGTCTTCTTCTCGGTGTACTTTTGTTTATTCAATTGTTGAATATAAGACCCAATGTAATTGGCATGCAACGCTTATTTTATGACCTGTCGTAAGAGTTCATAATGTTATTTCACCGTAAAATCCTACCTGTTTTATGCTGTTTACGCTTTATCTTATTTGTCCGAGAAGACTGTGTGAACGTACAGCCTGTGAACGTTCGGTAGCATGCATGTTTGCGCTCGTCCGTGCACCAATTGGGTCCAATACTTGAGCGCATTATTAGATAAATACTGTAGTTGTGGGGCTGTCTGCTACTCGACGGTTTCCTGTTCAAGTCACATTCTCTCTTGTCCTCCTGACCTGCACCGTCCATTTTCAGTCCGAATTTCTTTATCATCCAAACACACGCAAAAGCTGCCAGTTTGGAATTCAATTTCCTTGTAAGACTAGTTCCTTGCCTCTTCAGCCTGGTATGTTTTGCATACAAGTTTGTAGTCACATCTGTGACTTTTTTGAAAACCATTTTGTTTTCGCCACTTATTAAAAAAAATATGGTCATTTGTTCTTCTTTATCGAACGGTCTTCTTTAAGAAGAACGGTCATTTGTTCTTCTTTATTTAGTGTCGTAGCTAAACTATACTTTACTTCTCCAATGTATATATACTTGACGTTGCTTCTCGCTGTTATTTTACTTTGGTGGTAATGAAATTCAATTGCTCTTTTTCATGGGTCCCTTTAACCTGTTTATTGTTATGCGTATTTAATCTCTCTTGAGTTTCTTCTTCTAGTAGGCCTTTTTCTATAATTCCTTTTATGTCGTAAGTGTCGTGATTGAGCAGCTAATTGGATAGGGGCGATATAGCGAAGTGCGCAGCTGTGGAGCTAAGCACTGCGCCGTCTGCCCTCAACCTCTTGAGCGAGGGTAGCACTTGGACCTCTTGCTTTTCTGTTCATTTGTGGGCAATGGTAGGAACTAGACCTTTTATTCTCCTTGCTCGTTTCTGATTGAGGGTAGAAACTAGATATTTCATCCTTCTTGCTCGTTTTTGAGCGAGGGTAGAAACTATATTTCATCCTTCTTGCTCGTTTTTGAGCGAGGGTAGGCACTAGATATTTTATCCTTCTTGCTCGTTTTTGAGCGAGGGTAGAAACTAGATATTTCATCCAACTTGCTCATTTGTAAAGATGATGTGATTCAGACCTCTTTTCATTCTTGCTCATTGCGAGCGAGAGTAGGAATTAGGTATTTTATCCTACTTGTTTGTTTGTAAGAGATGGTAAGATTTGGACCTCTTTTTTCCATCTTGCTTATCGTGTGCAAGATTAGGAACCAGACATTTTATCCGTTTTGCTTACTTATGAGCGAGAGGAAAACTCAGGTTAGCATCATATAACACTGCCTTGTGAGCGCAAGCGTAGAATTGGCTTACGTCGTCTACTCTCGTCTCGTGAGCGAGGGTAGATCAAGGGGTCTTATCATTCCCCTCGCCCATGAGGGCTGGTCTGACCTTGGCGATATATTGCCGACCACAGCC